TAGTTGCATCATACTACAGCACTAACCACTCAGATAAGTGCATATTAATTGCAATAAATAACTAAACTTTGAAATAACTTTCTGCCAATTAACATACTGTGTGATCGAGATACATCAATAGCAATTAGATTCAAAATAGTAAAATCATTCCTTAACAGTAGTTGTGGCGTTAAAGGTCAGTTTACGTGTAAAATACACAAACCTTGTGTGAATACTAGCATGCTAACAACTCGGGCTAAAACACTACATGCCGTTGTTCTAATGAAGACATGGAGGATTTTAATTTTTGTTGGAAATAAAAAGATAAGGTGGTATCGGAATCGTGAATCATTCAACAAGTATGGAAACATAAGTTTACTCTTTTTTTCTATCTTTTAACGGGTGGTCATGTTCCCCTACTGTGATCAAAGTTTACATCGCTAAGCTGCCAATCACACACTTTCTTGGCCTTTTTCCATTAATGCATTCAGCACATTGGAAATCTTCCTGAAATCGAACGCACTATGTAATGATGAGTTCCATTTCGAGCAGAGGTACCTTTTGCGATAATCTAGAAAAATAGGATTTTTATTCAAGAAACTTGTTGAGACCATTAGTGAAAGACAACCGCATTACATTTGAAATGAAGGATGTTACAAGAGATTCAGATAAAACACATGCATAAGTCGTACATACAATCCATTCCTATGAAACTGTCCGGCCACAGCAGTTACTCTCTGAGATGTAAAAACCAAAAATGCTGGTATCAAGTTGGAGGAAAGAGGGTAGTGACTTGGTTCCAGGAGCAATGAGAACTCTTTATATGTTCTGCTCTTGTTATTAAGTGCCAGGATTACCCGATTTCGTGACATGCTTGGGAATAAATGCTATGGTTCCAAAACATTAGCTTTTAGCCAAAAGAGGCTTTTGCTAGGCAATGTGGTGTAGAAGTACATGACAGCCATCAGTAGGAAAAAGTATCCAGCTGCTGCAATTAGCTCTGGATTAAATGATTTTGTAGGCGTTCGTTCCTCCAAGTAATTTTTTCGAGTATTCCGCCGATTTTCGCAAGCTGCTTCGAATTCCTCTCTTGTCTGGAACGATCGTGGCGCTGCGAATCGCACAAAATCTCGCCAAGGGCAAAGCGCTGTGCAGGATGGGAGTTGCAGTGGAAAAGCTTCTCTACTTGAATTACGGTAGAGTATCTGAAATGTGAAGGTTATGCAGTGGAATCGAAGATCAAAGATGTGAAAGTACCTTTATGAAATGCTGATCATCCATTTTGTGCAGCTCGATCAAAATTGTACTCGTATAAGGAGGTAGGAGGTGATTCGAAACTCCAAGGTTGTACAGAAGTGAAGTTATAGTGGCATCATGCTATAAAGGAATTCTTAAGTTTAATTTTAGAGTATCAAACATCAAATAAAGTCAACGTACCGTGGAATAGAGTGCCATTTTTCTCCTAGATATTCCCAGCACCTTGTCCTGTAGTTCCTTGAGCAATTGTCCAGTGAGGAAACCAGTGCTCAGTTTGGATTTCTCAAGAGAGTTGTACGCCTCCACTCGCTCCTGACGTTTCAACTCAGCCATCGCTTCGATGACAGTAGTATTGTGATCGATCATTTCATACACCCATGAGGGTTGGGAAAAGCCACTTTCACTCTGAAAACTTTTCACTACAAAAAAGATATTCTGAGTGTTAATAATTGAGTATTTAAAACAGTCTTTAAATAAAACTTTAAAGAACTGTGCATTTACTAAGCAGTAAGCATCTTCTCCAGGAAAAATTTCAGAAAACTAAGCAAGTAGATGCCACGAAAAGTCAGAGATAACAGTATGAAGTCAAAAGCAGTTGAGATTTGTTTGTAGACAGTTATCAGATTGTTAGTTCCAAAAATTTTTGAGGGCTTTTCTTTGAATTGCTCATCAGTTATCTTTGTTTTAACTTCCTTTCCCTTACTAGAAGAAGTAGAGCTATTTTCATAGTCGTAAAGAAAGAAGCGAAGTAGCCCTAAGCCTTACTTAACAACTATTTATTCATCGCGCTTTTCAATAAATTTTACAATACCACCCATAACTTTTGTTAAAAAA